ACATGGCTTGGAAGGACCCTCGGGACACAGAGGAGGCTTTCCCTCTTGTCCACAGTGTATTTGCATTACTCTTATGAAAACCGAGGAGGATGATCAATGTGTGGCACATTTTACCAAACGCCTCATAGGAAAATAGAGAAATGCATGGGAAAGGCTCTCAAAGAACAATGACCTCCCAGAGGAAAATAATTTGTGCCATTGTATAAAGTGGCAATGGGATGAACCTTTACTTATTTCTTTAAAAGAACAGTTATTTTTACAACTGAAAATAAGATTCAGAAGTTTGGAGATATAGCTCTTTGGCAGCATACATGACTAGCATGAGTGGAGCTCCTGGTTCAATCTGTAGGGGGAGAGAAGGGGGAGAGAAAGAGAGAGAGAGAGAGAGAGAGAGAGAGAGAGAGAGAGAGAGAGAGAGAGAGAGAGAAACAAAAAAAGAAAAAGAAAAGAAACCTTACTTATGTCCCACTAGGTGAGCTTTGAAACTTGTGCCCTTAAATTCCAAGAAAAACTAAAAAGTTCTCAAAATAGCTGAGATTCAGAATTTCAGAGGAGCGTCTTCTGCCTTGCCACACCAGAGAGACTCGGCTTCTACGTCCTTGGTGGCACTTTGTGACACCTATGCAAAATCTAGGGGAAATCCAGCTCCTGCCATTCGTCTGGGGAGCCTGCCCGCTGTTCTGCCCAATCCTTTCTTCCCTCCTACGCCTGAAGTTCCAAGAAAGGTACAGAGTGCGCTCGTGGAACACGGAGTCAACTGCTGTAGAACAAATGTGACATTTTCTACAAATTTGTATGTCCACAAAACTAATGCTTAGAAATTCTCATCCACAGAACTGGGAGACTGATTACTTTTACTAATGGTATTTGAGCTGGAGAATGATGGCAATTTAGTATTCAAGATGCAGAAAGATGGGAATTTGTCCTGGGCTCAAAGACTTTTTTTGCCACAAAGACCTGGACAGACACAACCGGTCTCCAGCTCACTTGTGCAGCATCTTCTCTGACCACACCTTTACAACTACCTGGTGGAAACAAAGGGGCACCTCTCAGTCATCACCCATCCCTTGTGGGCAAGGGGAGGCCTTCCTCTTTCCCTTCCAGCCTCCTCTCCTTGGCTTGGCTGTCCCTGACCAGAAGTGACCCCAGTACCCGCTACTGGTCCCTGCAGTGGCCGTGGTGGGATGCTATCATGGCAGTCACCTCAGGCAGCAGTGACTGCCCACACAGGCCCGCCCTCTCTGGGCTCCATGCACCCTTAGGCTGAGACATCTGCTCTGCATGCACAGCGCTGCCCAGGGCTCACACAGCGCCAGCCCAACCAATGACCACTAAGTGAACAAAGGCTCTGTGACCAATTGGCTACTTGATGTGCTTACCTGGACAGGCCAAGGGCATTTTAAAACAAAAATATCCCCAAAGGAGCCTTTGATGACACCTTCTTCTCTGAGCCAGAGGGTCCTGCTCACTGTCCAGTCCTCCCTCCTCAGCAAGTATACCTGTGCCCCCACAGCCACTTGACCTGGACTCCTGGGGAGATCCAGAGCCTGGTGCTTGCATGATGCATCTGGCTCTGCTGTGTCCACTTAGATGGCCTCAGCATTTACCTGGCTCTGCCATCATCTCGGGCTAGGAGATCACAGCGCAGACCACACAGTCTCCCACTTCCGCTATTGTCCCTCTCCAGGACACTGCACAGAGCTGCCATGGTTATCTCTGAGAGCATAGAGAGGGCCACTGTCACTTTTCCAGAGCCCTGCAGGCTCCCTGACCTGGCTGTATGACTGCACATTCCTGGCTGCCGGCTTCCCCTTGGCCATGCTGCAACCAACACTTCAGTCAGCTCCAGGTTCTTGGTCCTCCCAGGTTGTGACCCAATTCTCCATCCAGCACACCCTACTCTCTATCCCCGTAAGCGCCTTCTCCCTCCTTCCCACCCTCCCTTGCTGGTCTCACACACTTCCTTAGTCAACCCTCACAGAGACTTTGGCCTCAGAGCCCTATCTGCCTCCTTCTGAGCAGAGTGGCAAGTGTGCTTGCTCGCTTTATATTACTTTCTGCCTGTTCCACCACAGAACTCCAGCTCCTGGGTCACAGAAACACTGGGACCAAATCAGTAGCCATGAAACAGTGGACGTTCACGTAGTGTTTCATTTCCACAACACATTGTTAGGAGGAAGCTCTTCCTATCTTATCATTTTACCAAGAAAAAGGACTCTGAAACATGACCTCACTTGTGCACCCCAACATCGATGCATGGCAGAACTAGTTCTCTCCGGGATTTGGTGGATCCACCTAGAACCAGAGGAACTCCATGGCCTCTCTTTGCTCCTGAATTTTTCCCAGAAGGGACAAATGCACCAGTGTCCCGCTTTGCTAGTCCACAGCTATACGTGTGATGATGTTTCCTGTCATTATTCCCTAGCTGTCTGGGTTTGCTGATATCAGAACACCTGTTACAGGTAGCAGTCACCAGTTCCCAATCCTCATTCAAATGTCAGGCACTGAGTCCGTGACCCCATCTTGTTTTGTACTACAGATTGAACCCTGTGCCTTCACACTGAGCCACATCCCCAGACTTCATATTTTTCATTTTGAGACAGTCTTACAAAGTCACTGAATTGCCCATGGCAGGCTCAAGCTTGGCAATCCTCCTGCTTCAGCCGCCCAGAGTACCGGGATTACAGCCACCATGCTTGGCTTAACTTCTCCCTCTTTCATAATGGCTCCTTACTAGCATTTTGTAGGCAACCAAGTTCCAGCAGCTGCTATGATGACAGTGTAATAATGCATACCTCGGAATTCCAGTCCTCGGAGTTGAAATGTGACAAGACCATTGCCAACTTCGATCAGGTGGACAAAGGCATTGAGGTCATCTGAAGCCAAAATAAAGCAGTCACCAGAGCTGTAGTTACCCCAGCGACCAAGAACCAAGTCTCCACAGAGGGACTCCTGAAGGGTCCTGGTCAGATGCTCGTAAAAGATGGAATTGAGGTTGTTGTCATCACCCCCTAGAGGCAGACAGGAAATACAGTTGGAGAGTGTTCACACCTGGGATGCATAACTCGTTGTTAGAGTAAGGTAAAATTCAGCCTCCGAATTTTAACACGGGAAGGCTCGTTCTCCACTTTGTTAGTGGGCTTTATGAGACCTTATTTTTTTGCTCTAGATTCTCTGAGGCAGTATCCTCTATATATCTGGACTGACAAGCGACAAATGCTCGCCAATGACAAATTCCTATATCCAACTGAGACTCCTGAGCTTAGACCCGTGCACCTACTTAACATCTCCCAGCCTCCACAAATCAGGGACCCATCATCCACCTTTCCCGTCTGAGCACTCACATCACCCTCCATGCACCCACAGCAAGGGACTTTCTTTTCCACTCCATTTTCTCTCCTGCGTGTATTTCTTAAATCTACCATACCTGTCTCTGTTACTCCATATCCCAAAGTAGCACCATTTCTCCTGCGGACCACAGCCCTGGCCCTGGAGCTTTCTGTTTGTCCACCAGGACCTACCAGGTAATTTTCTCTATCTGCAGCCAAGATGAGCTGTCCAAGTTGGAAAGTAGAACGTGACAATCACCACTGTCAAAGCCCATTTCTGAAATCCTCTCAGTGCCCCTAAGACAAAGGCCCTTCTTCACCTGGCCTGCAATAGGGTCACTGTAGACTTCATCAGTTACAGTTGAGAGCTAGGCTGTCCTGCATCCCCCAGCTCCTACTGGCTCAAGAGTCCTTTCCTCCTCACTCAACACAAAGCGGTGTCCAGTCCAGTGACCCATATGCCGCTCCCATCCTGCACTTTGGTGATGCCGCCCCTGCCCAGGGGACATAAACCAGAGGATGCTCTTTCATGCCCTCTGTTTTATCAGCTGTTGCTCTTCAGACTCTCTTCCCAAAAGCCACCCCTCTGACCCCTCAGCTAGGAAACTTTTAGTGACAAGTTCTAGGCTTTGTGGTCCTCTCTGAAGCACTATCACTGCTGGAATTTTGTTTTGTACGTATGTAGGCACACAACTACTTGATGAGCATCTGCTTTCCCTACTGTACCATACAGGCAATAAACACAGGCCAGAATCTGAACCTGCTGCCATTTGTATCCTAGTACAGTACCGGCAGGATCTGTAACCTACAGTAAGAGCTAGCGAAATATCTGTTGAATAAAAGATGACAACATAGATAATAGTTTAAGACAACCGTTTGTAGAAACACACACCTCAAGTAACTCCAGTGTATTTTTTGTTAAATTCATTGAAATATAATATACAAATATGAAGCAGTACAAATTTATAGATGTCTGTATATATGTATGTATATGCTATGATATGTAACACAATTATTGCAAATATTGTTTTATAAAATATGTATTGTATAAAATAAATTATATATACACATATATGTAAATGATTATTTTCTAGGTATAGCCTGGTGCCACTTATTTGTAAGTTACAAATACCGACAAAGCCTGCTTAACTGCAGAACACTTTATAGAGAAAGCGGGCCTTCCCAGGGTACCACTCCAAGAGTCTTGAGGAAGGCGAGCCATCGCGTGACCACGTGTAAGACCTGGCCCCCTGTGCCTTGTGTGCACCACGGCTTGCTCTGCCTCCTCAGGGAGCCCTAGTCCTTGGCACTGCAGTTTATCTGTGGTGTGCTGCAAGACCTTGGTGTCATGCCCAACCTGGGCACTTATGGGTAAAACGTCTATGGGTGTTCACTGATAAGAGTCACCAGGACGGGACCTCGGGTCCTCTGGAGTGAGCACCTGCAGGGCGAAGGCTGCTCTCCACGGTGACTATGCGCTTCTGTGTGCCCAGAAGACTCAGCACTCTCATTCTGCCTCTGACCGAGGAACTGGTGCAGTGGTAGCGGTAGTTGCTCTAACTGTGGGGATGGTGATGCGCAGGGAGGATGAAGAAAGGGTGCAGAAAGGGGATGGGCCACAGATACTCTGCTTTCCGGTAGAAGGTCGGGGTGCATATGGAGGAGGTAAAGTGGGGGTGCCATGCCTGTCCCATGGGCTCCCTGCTGGATACTCCTGGTGTCTTCTCTCCCTCTCTGGACTCTCTCAAGCTGAGGAATACAAGCTTTTAAAGAAAAGACTGAAAAACTAGAAAGTCTCCCTGGTCTTTGGTCCCCTGGGTCAAAGTGCTAGAAGAGAATAATTTTTTTTAGGGTTTCTATTTTAGAAGCAGCTATTCTTTAGGGTAGAAATGCTGGCTCTGGAAAGCCAGAGCGATGTCGTATTTCCCTAAAGAGGAAATGCCTAGAAGTAAAAATTCAAGCTCCCTCGCATTTTCTACTTGGGTGGAAAGAGTTTCTGGAAACCGAAGGTAACAGTTCTTACTCAAGTACCCTGCTTGGTGCTGGTGGGCCCCAGGGCAGGTTGATGGGTTCAGCAGGGTGGAGATGTCCCACATTCACTTATGGATGAAGAAGAGCACAGCCTTTTGCTTAGAAGTCACTAAGGGAAGACTATGAGACAGAGAGGGTCTCCACTGGTCTGCCATGGCAGTTGACAGCTGTATGGATAGCAGCACATTTATCCCCCAACTCTGGCCACTGGGAGGATCCTGGACAGCGGGCTGAGCCTAAAGCATCCGCTGGCTCACTGTTCTCCACTCAGGAGGCTGCCTGACCTGCCCTTATGCTCATTGTCTGCGATGAATCACAGGCATCCCAAGACACTAATTAAAGATGACTTTTAGACTCTAGTATTTGAAGAAGAAAGATCTAAATGAGAAAATTAACCTTTGCTTAAATGTTCAAACTATTTGACATTTGAATAAAGCAAGCCAATTAAATCACTGAAAGTGGAGATTTGACTCTGGGTATCTTCCTGGCACACGGTGACCACACATCTGCATAATTAGTGAAAATGAAAGGATACTTAAGATTAGCTGAAAGCATTACACACTTATGTAACTGTTCACATGGGCAATGCTGGTGGCCACACGATGTCACAGAGTGCCACAGTTGTATACCAAGAAGGTGCTATCATCCCTAATCCTTCTGTTGGATGACAGGAAGTTCTACAAAAAATTGGCCTGGCTCACCATGTACTTTAAAATATTTATTTCTGATTTTATATTAATTATATGAGTGCAATTCAAATACAGGTGTTCCTGACTTGACAACTTTCAAATTTATAATGATGTGAAAGCAAGATAGGTTGGGTAGAAATCATTTTTCAGTTATGAATTTTGATCTTTTTCTTGTCTGGTAATTCTTGGCTGATGTGCTCGTGTTGGGGGGCAGCTGCCAGCTAGACTTGGGGCCACATGGGGAAAGACTGACCCTGCACTGTGTTAGGTTGCTAGGCTATGAGGGTCTGTAAGTTAGGGGTCTCACATGCAGCCTCAACATAATGATAGCTTTAATTCACACAGAGTCACTAGAGCATCTGTACTGATCCTGGACATGGTACAATTCTTTCAAGAAAAAAATCTTAGGCACAAAGGAGAACATGACATCACGAATTCCAAAAATATCCACCCCTCCTTTAAAATTACAATTGAAATTTGCCTTATTATAAGAGAAAGGAAGAGATAAATCAGCTAAAAATAAAATACAATACAAAAAGAAAAAAGTCAGATAATTTTCTAGTGGGTAATTCCTTCCATAGCTTAATTTTGGCTAACACGTCTTGATCTTGGTTTCTAGAATGTTTTATCTTTAGCAACAGTATAAGGCTGGTGTTTTTCCAAAAACTAGTTTTTCCTAAAAGACCCATCCCAAGGTTTATACTCTAATGTTTGCCATACACAAAATAAAATATCTTAACAGAGTCATTCGATACTCAGTAAGTGCCCAATCAACTCTAAATAATGGAGGAATGCATTTACAAGTCAAATCAGGCTGCTTGATCAGTCCACTTATTCAGTGTTCTTACTAGCTGGCACGTTTACCAAGAAGTCCATTGTCTCCATTATGATGTAAGTACTTAACTTTCTTGTGGAGATCCATCGATATAACAAAATAGGGAAAAAAATGGCAGCAAGAGTTTCTTACCTGCATCCCTTTCCATTTGGACCGCCAATCTTGTGTTGGAATTGTCCACTCGCCTGGTGCTAGAAGGGGCCACAAAAGAGAAGGTCATGGTCAGCTCCTGCCCAGCTGGACAGCTGCTTGGCTCACTCAGAGCCAAGTTAGTGAGCAGAAAGCACAGAGGAGATCATGCTTAAAGTGGGAGAATCGCTTTAATTGGAGGGTGCTGTAGAAAGAGAGGCCTCTCGTTGCCAAGAGCGGGAGGGACAGGCACTGGAGGTATGCAGAAGGGGGAGATGGGGAGTTCTCTGACTTATAGGAAACAACTTTGAGCACCAGATCCACAGTAAAAGTCACGAGTATGAACTCCCAGGAAGAGCCCCTTCCTTTTAGAACCTAGAGCAGTGTTCATTCGCCCAGGTATTTCTCTTTCCAGACCAATTCTAGAACATCCGCACTCACTGCCTCCACTTGCCACACGAGCTGGGCATACTCACACAGATCTTTCTCAGACTGAACTTTTAACACAAAAATACTTCCTGCGTACTTACAAGGAGACAAACTGTCTGCAGCCATGATGACAAATGCCCACCACAACCAGTTTTGCACATGATCTCTCCGACAGTTCACCTTGCTTCACAGCTTTGGAAGTCCATCCAGCAGTGACTTCTCTTGCGTCGGAGTCAGCAAGGAGGGACAGGCTTGTTCTAGATTTCTGAGAGGGGACCCAGCAACAACAGCCTTTCCAAGTGACCTCCTCACAGATGTAGACAACCCATATGTACCCTTAAACTTCAGATTTCCTCAAATACCACATCCCCAAGACTTGCGGTAAGAGTCATAGTCTGCTCTGCCCCTCTTTCTGCTTAGAGGCCGCACTGTGGTCCTCTCATCCTTTCAGCGGTGGAATAAAAAATTGGTCGCAGGCTTCTGAAATTGATGACCTTTCATAGTGGCAACAGTGGCAGTCACAGGTTGCCCAGATGGACACATTAGCCACTGAGAACGGGATTTCAGAAGAACCAAGTCAGCACTGAGGACGGGTTTTGCACAGCTTAAAATACCGAGGCTTCACTTTCATGTTGGAAAGCCTGATCTGTGACTCCACAGACCCTGTTTTTTGTCATCATACCCTTTGCTTTCTGGAACCCAGCCATGGAGCCCTTTGTTGCCACCTCACCATGCCTACCCTCCAGCTCTGTGTACCATCCTCCCCCTTATCCTTTATGACAATGGTTCCCTCTCCTTGCACCGTCCCTTTTGTCCCCTCAACTGTTTCTCTCTGGACTCTCATCCCTCATGTCTCTACCATGTGCTTTTTCTGGAAGCTGCTGTGACCTTGGTGACAGGTGTCTCCCTTCTTTGTGCTCTTTTTTTCTGTACTGGAGATTGAACCCAGAGATTTTCCACTGGGATGTATCCTAGCCCTATTTATTTATCTCTATTTGAAACAGAGTCTTCCAAAATTCCCAGGCTGGGCAGGAACTCATGACCCTCTTGCTCTAACTTCCCAGAATGCTGGGATTACACGTGTGCACCATCATGCCTGGCCTTTGCCTACGCTCTTTTGTGCATTTTACCTCTCCACAGGAGGGGATTTTGATTAATGCCACTAACAATGGTGGCCACTCGTGCTCATGTAGCACTTGCTGGTGTTGGGCACAAGGTCTGGGTACTTTCCCGGTCTGGGTTCACTGTACTCACATAGTTTCCTTCTGAGGCAGGTATTGCTGTCATACCCACTTTCACAAAGGACACAGTTGAGGGTCAGAAAAATGTCAAGCACCCAAGGCTGCAGACTGAATGGCTGGAGGAGCCAGGATTCTAACCCAGGCTGGTTGGCTGCGGGGCCTTCATCCACACCACACCCTACATGTCTCTGCGTGCTTATCTGACTATATCTATCTCATAAGCCAGACCCTGCATGTCCCAGGAGCAAGACTTGGTTTTCAGTTGGCAGAGTGGTCAGTATGTACTTGCTGAATGAATGAAGAATCAAAGGTAAGGTTGTGAGATTTGTCCCTATGGCACCTGCAGGAAGAAGGAGACTGGCTATCACTTGATGCCACCAATTTGCTGCATCTAAACATGACCACTGACGTACTCCATGTGACTTAATAAATGGCAAGCATTGGTCAGGAATGGTGCTTAAAAGGAGATTTTAGAACGTGTACTTCTTTTGTGAACCTGTCGTGTAGGAATCGGAGATTTAAAAAAATACTGTGGTGGACTTCCAATTTGAATAAATAAATAAAAAGCCTTGCATTCGTGGGATTGGAGAATGTCTAATCTTTTTTTTTTTTTTCCTGCATTGGTCACTGAACAACTACTGGGCAGCTCCCAAATGAACTAGGTGGAACCGCCCCACAGATGGCTTGGAGAACGGGTGACTCTGTTGCATCAGCAGAAGGCACAATGCTCCCCACACCACTCTGCCACTGCTTCAATTTTCCTTCCAAATACTCTCATCAAAACTCTGGAAATCAAAGAGCCCAGGGTGGCAGAAAAATAAAGCAAACAACAAATTTCTTCTTAATGAAGGCTGAAATCCCATGTCTGCATGGTCGGTCCCTAAATGGAATTTTAATTTCACCTTAAGACCTAGGACAAATGGAATTTTCAGCAGCAGAATAAACAATTTTTACAGTGGGAATGAGCCAAAAGAAAGTCATTTACCAGACTCCTGAGGGAATGAGAACACCCTCTGAAACAACATCCACTGGAAAGCTGTCCTTTCAAGAGCCATAGCTACTTGGAATGCACAGTGCTGACTTGGGGTGAGCAACAGCCTGCAAGGCCGCAGGGGGCCCGGGCCTCTGGCTCCCCATCACTTTCCTCAGAGGGTGAGGTGTCAGCCAGTCTGGGCAATCGGAGCCTCCCTCTAGTAACTTCCTTCTGCAGATTCGGTGCTTACGACTCAAAGTGCTAATTAGCTCGGTAATTGGATTTCTGCCTTCACTGTCCTGTCGCATACGGTCAAATCTGTTGTTCAAAGAGAAGGTGGGGCTTGAATCTCACCCCTTCGATCTCAGGGGAAGTGTGCAAGGCATTAGGCACGTAACTGCATGTGATGTCCTCAGCTCTGCCTGGCGGTCACTGTGGACCACTGGACAATGGGAGCCTGGGCCACAGACCGCAAACCTCCTGAGTTCTTTCCAGAGAAGTGGGCTCACTGTGAGGAACTCTCCTCACATCAGCAGATGGCAGGGCTGGCTTCCCTCTCCTACCTGTCTTCCTACCTCCAGGCCTATCTCACTAGACAAACACCTGATTTCTCCTATGGATTCCTCAGAGCAACTTGAATGATTTAGCAGCAGCTTAATCATACTACATTAAATTCCCTTTTGTCAGCACATACCCACTATTACATGGAAGAATTCCCCTAATCTACCCTTGAAACATGGGTGGCTGGAGTGAGAAGCGTGGTGGGTGTTTGCTCTGACAGCAGACACAGATCGGCTCAAGAGCGGACAATGGATCTGTGCCTGGGCAGGGTTGCCCTAGGGAGATGTGCAAGATGAAAAGCAGTTGGAATTCCAGTGAAAGGTGCCATCTCCTCATGAACTGGCTACATGCACAGGCACATCTGGGTTTGACTTTTACTTTTCTGCCACTGCCCTGACAGCCACACTCATTCCTGCAAAGTCAATGGTGCCACCCTGGCTGCTGGCCACCATGGACCCCAGGAGAGGTTGGCAATAGAGACTCTTCTGAGGACAGGCTGGCCAGAACACCGAGGCGGCCTGCTGTCCAGTGGGGTCTGGACTCTGGCTTTGTTACATCTGCCCTTCAGGATCCAAAGTGTGGCTCCTTCTGGCCATCTCTCCTTCCAGACGGCAGATGCTCTTTGGAAGTTGGCTACTGTGTCGGGTACTTGCCTTCTGGAGATTTTGTCGAAATTCCCTAGTACCTTGGAGAGTTCGAGAAATCAATGACTTTAAATTGTAATAAAACTGTTGACTTCCCCCCTCTTAATATTTCACTTCATTCTCTTTAGTTGCCCTTACTGGGGGGAGGGAGGTTGGCCCTAAATACCTAGCAGGTTAGGACTAGTAACTGAACTACTAAGGATGCTTGTAGAAGTTATGAAAGGGTGGGTAGTTTCTAACTGCCTAATACATAGTCAGTGCTTCCCGGTGCTCCTGAATGGTATGTCCCATTTTCGTTCTGCATCTGTGTTTGCACATCCTTGTGTATGGGTGTGTGCGTGTGTTCTGGCATATACACTACAGCTAACAATTCTTAATTATGTTATTCAGGTCTTACACATCCTCATCTGATTCTGGAACTCTTGATCAGTTATGAATGTGGAAAAGTGAATTACATTTCCAACCATGGGTCTGCTTTTATTTTCTTATTATGTCATTTTTTAAATTTTTTTCTTTGTGAATTTTGTTATGTAGTTTAAAGAATTGATATTTATCATTTACCTTCATTATGAATTTAGTTTTTAGCATTATATAATGTTCTTGATGCTAACCACTTTTGCCCCAAACTCATCTATGTTTAAGATTAAACTAATTGTAGCTTTAATTTGTTCACTTTTACCTAATTCTTTCACTACTTTTATTTTTAGC